AGTCAGCCCCTGCTACCACGGTACGCCCTAGGCAACTGGTGGAGTCGATATCATGCATACACGGCCAAAGAATACCTCGATCTGCACGATCACTTTGACAGGGATGACGTGCCCATGAACGTGGCCGTCGTCGACATGGACTGGCATCTGGTATGGGATATTCCAGGTGGTTACAATGGCTGGACCGGATACACGTGGAACAAGAAGCTCTTCCCTGACCCAGATGCCTTTATGAAGAACCTCCATGACCGTGGCATGAAGCTGACACTCAACTTGCATCCTGCAGATGGTATCAGGCCGTTTGAAGCGCAATACGAAAGAGTTGCAAAGTACCTTGGAATCGACCCGGCGTCGAGGCAGACGATTCAGTTTGATTGTACGGATAAGAAGTTCATGGATGCATACTTTGATGTTGTTCACCACGAGCATGAAGAGCGAGGTGTCGACTTTTGGTGGGTGGACTGGCAGCAGGGTAACACGTCTAAGATTCCAGGTGTCGACCCGCTGTGGGTGCTCAACCACTTCCATTTCCTCGACAGCGGTCGCGGGTCTCAGCGTCCCTTGATTCTTTCTCGTTTCGGAGGTCCAGGTGCTCAGCGCTACCAGGTCGGTTTCTCAGGTGATGCAATCATTACATGGGAAAGCTTGCACTTCCAACCCGAATTCACGGCTACCGCGTCCAACATCGGGTACGGATGGTGGAGTAACGATATTGGCGGACACACACACGGTTACAAGAACGACGAGCTGTACACGCGTTGGGTACAACTTGGCTGCTGGTCGCCCATTCTACGTCTGCACTGCGACAATAACCCGTTCAACACTCGCGAGCCCTGGCGCTACAATGCCGAAGCCTGTGGCATTGTCGAGGATACACTGCGATTCCGCCACCGCCTCATCCCATATCTTTACACAATGAATGCCCGAAGCGCCAGCGATGACGAGCCCCTCGTACAACCCATGTACTGGGACTACCCCGAAAATGAAGAAGCCTACAACGTACCCAACCAGTTCCGTTTTGGTACCGAACTCATCGTAGCACCCATCACCCAACCCCGCGACAAGATCACACATCTCGGCGCCGCCAAAATCTGGCTCCCAGAAGGCCGTTTTGTAGACATCTTCACAGGCGTCGTCTACAACCGCGCTGGCGAACTAACCATCCAACGGCCCCTCAACCTCGTCCCCGTCCTCGCAAAAGAAGGTTCCATCATCCCCCTCGACGCCGCCGTCCGCCCCAAAACCGGATCCCCCAACCCAGAGTCTCTCGAAATCCTCGTCGTCGTCGGCGCAGACGGCTCCTTCACCCTCGTCGAAGACGACGGAAAGGGCCACCTCGTCGACGACGGCGGCTTCTCCATGATCTCCGCCTCAGACCTCGACTCTTCTGCAGATGAAGGCGACACCGTCCGCTTCGCCCACACCCCCATAACCTACAAGCACGCCACCGGCGTCCTAACAATCGGTCCCACATCCCCCCCTTCCAACACCGCAATCCCCAAATCCCGCTCTTGGAAGATCCGCCTCCTAGCCCACCATTTAACTACCGACGCAACAATCCGCTGCATCACCACGTCCCCCTCTACTCGCAAATCCGCAAAACAACTCGCTCACTCCATTTCTCACGTCCCCAACGGCTCCCTCATCACCCTTACCGATGCGGTGCCAACATCGCACACCATCCACATTGAACTCTCCCCCGCTCCTACCCTGGATGTTCTCGACCCGAACCCCTTGATCTGGGATATCATTGATAAGTCGTGGATCGAGCTCGATCGCAAGTGGGATATTTGGAATTGTGTTAATAATACGGAGCCCGTGCTGAATAAGGTGAGGGCGCTGCAGGGGAGGGGCTTGCCCAGGGAGTTGCTGGATGCGGTGTTGGAGTTGTTGCTTGCGGATGAGAGATATGCTGGTGAAGGGAATGGGAACGGGATGGAGGATGTGGATTGAAAAGAAAGGAAGGGGGAGAGGGATATGAAGTAAATGAAATGTAAATGAACTTTCCTTTTTTGTTCTCTTTTGGGATATATATATTCAAATATTTTTTGGGTCATTTTTTTCCCATCTTCTTGGATAGGTACATTCATGTGACAAAGTATAGTCGTACATAACAACCCTCCTTCAACCCCCCTCAGGGCCTCAACTCCACCCCCTCTACCCCCTTCATACCCTCCTTAAACCCATCCCTACCCAGAATCTCCTTGACCTTCTCCAAAACCGCGCCTTCCCGCCTCCTGCTCACATCACCCTCTGCGACCTTCTCGCCCGCCACCAGCGCGCCCTCCAGTCCCTCATACTCCCAAATATTCGCCTTCATACCCACCCCGTGATACTGATGTTTAGCCAAAAACGCCAACCAAGCCTTGACCACATCTGGGTGCCCATCCTGAATCTGAATCAAGCGCCTCATAGTAACCCTCTCAAAGTTCTCCTGACTCTTCTTGAAAATGAAATTCGATCGCGGGACTACCCAGCGCTCTGTTATGCGGGGTAAGGGGATGGGGCCCCGGGCGCAGAGTCCCATGTAGTAGGCTGCGCGGACGGCAAAGTCGGAGAAGAGGAGTAGGTTGCGGACATTGTAGGTGCGGAGTTGGAGGTCGCAGGTAGGCACGCCGTATTCGGGCGTGCGGCGAAGGGGCCGCAGGTGGACGGCGCGGACGTTGAGGGGGGTGCGGAGGGCGTCTAGGGCTTCTTGAGTTTTGGGGTCAAGAGGAGGTTGGTCGGTGGGGAGGGTGATGTCTTTTTCTCTGGTTGGACTTGTTAGTCTTTTTCTGTATGTGACAGTCTGGTGGTGTGGCAAGGAACGTACTTTGCGAGTTTGATGGGTTCAACGCCGGCGCGCTTGTACACCTTTAAGAGGCCGAGGTGGTCGGGTGTATTTTGTAGTTCTTTCCATTGCCGCTGGGCTTCCTCGCGCGTCTTGGGCTCCCGTTGTTGCTGGCGCTTGTTGACTTTTTGCTGGCTGGCATATAGACTGTAGTCTTTATTAGAATCTTCATCCCTCTGAAATCAGCCTTTCATGGCAAGCAGACATACGTCTTGAATTCCTTAACATCAATACCCATATCCTCCAGCCGAGCATCAAGCGGCATATCACCGTTCTCCAGGTCCATCTTCAGCTTCTCAATGAGCCTGACATCTCTGTCCTCTCTCGAGTCTCGCTCATTGTCCTCGTCCGCTTTCGAGCTCTTGTTCCGCGAAAAGGTCTGGGTGGATGGCCGTGGGGCGTGCGAAATCTATTTTCAATTGCAAGTCAGCGGGCCAATTCGTCGCAAACAGCGTTTGACAGTCCAATCAATTCGTACCTTCACCCTCTTTGCTGGCCCCAGAAAAGAGCGCATACATCGTGGCGCGGCCATGGTCGCTGTCGTCGCAATTTAACCCACGTCCAACCGTCCAACTTCTTCCTCCGACAATGGCGCTAGTTGCGATTCCGCTTATAGTCTTGGCAGTCGTCGGAATTGCCCGCCGCCTTCCTTGTGCACCCTAGTCATTCCCTCTGATAATGTCACATGTACTTCCTAGACTATTTTCCCTAGCCACGGTTGATCCATTTATCTTTTGTGTTCTTAAGACTTGTTCTCCTTGACTTCACTTTTTTTGCGACTGCTCAAGATGGAGTCCACTCAAGATGCCGCCGCTGCGCCAAACGCCTATGTCCGCGCCACAGAGACGGCCAAATACGTTCGCTCCCAACTACCTGAGACGCTTCAAAACCCAAAAGTAGCCATTGTGTGCGGTTCGGGCCTAGGCGGACTTGCCGACACCATCGAGCCAGAGCCCAAAGTCGAGTTGGCATATGGCACAATTCCAAACTTTCCTAAGAGCACAGGTGTGTATAAGGCGCGACCCTCAAACTTCATGATGCGGGGTGCTGACAAGTACGTAGTTCAGGGCCATGCGGGCAAGTTTGTCTTTGGTCACATTGGACCTCAGAAAACACCAGTCGCACTTTTAGTTGGACGCGCACAGTAGGTCACTACATGAGAAGGAGAGCATTTGAACAAGTTTGATATTGACATTGATAGTTTCTATGAAGGACACTCCATGGACTTGGTCACATTCGCTACCCGCGTGTGCAAGGTGCTCGGTGTCGAAACCATGATTGGTATGGAACGTGCCAGGCGAGAGCTAGACTGATCGGCTAATGACGGCATGTAGTCACAAACGCAGCTGGTGGTCTCAACCAGACTTACCGCGTGGGAGACATTGTGTGTCTAAACGATGTGCGTAAGTCGTTGCAAAGCTCAAGACTCACCCTGACATTATCTAGCATCTCAACATTGCTGGGCTCGTTGGATTCCATCCGCTGCGTGGCCCCAACATTGATGAGTTTGGTGTACGATTTCCACCACTGTCAGATGCCTACGACCTGGATTTGAGAAAAAGAACGCACAAAGCTTGGGCCAAGCTAGGCCTTGACCAGCAACAGAGACGTCTACACGAGGGTGTATATGCATTCGTTGCGGGACCAACGTATGTACTCAAAATATTCTTACTTGACGTGTCAAGAGCGGGCATGAGCTAATTCATCCAGTTACGAGACCCGTGCTGAGTGCCGGATGCTGAGCATGTTAGGGGCTGATGTCGTTGGTATGTCGACTGTGCCAGAGATCATCGTCGCCAGACATGCAGGAATGCGCATCCTTGCATTCAGTCTAGTCACAAATGTCGCTGTCCTCGAAGCAGGCTCTTGTGGAAATGATGCCACAATTCAGAACATGAACAGGGCGCAGCTGACCGAACACCTGAGCCAAGGCAAGGCAAACCACGAAGAGGTCCTGGAGGCTGGACGGGAGGCGGCCAAAGACATGCAGGCTTTGGTCAAGCAGATTCTTTCCGACCTGGACCAGGAATAGAAGCACTTCCCAGAGAAGGTTCCGTGGGACAGACGAGATAGATCTGAAGTAGAACATATCAGGCCAGAGAAAACTGGCCTCGAAACCCCAAAAACAGAACAAGATCGACAATTATCAGGTGAAGTTTCGTCCACGTGCTCAAGGCTTGACAATTTTGCCCTTGTTGCGCTTTGCTTTGAGGGCCTTGTAGTGGGCCTTCTTTCCGCTCGACTTGGTCGCCTGGATGTCTTGGTATTTTCGGTTGAAGCGGCCACTGTCTTGCTCCTGGGCAATGACTTCTTCGAGCATGGTCTGCTTGCGGTCCTTGTTCTTGAGACGGCTGCTGTAGAATTCGGTGGCGCCTTCAATAATGGTGCCGACTTGGGAGAAAGCAGGAACATCGCCCTTGGAGTTGTCCTTTTTGTAGTGACGCTTGGGATCCAGGACGCTGCGCATCTTGAGGAGCTGCAAGTCTCGGCGCAACTCTGGAGTCAGGTCGGTCTTGGGCATGTTGAACCATTGTGAGCCAGCAGTTGCCTTCTTCTCCTAAACAAGCCGTTAGCATCTTGTGGCTGACAAACTTTGAATGCAAAAAGCGTGCAGTGAAAGGAAGCCTCAGTGTAACTATGAACTAATGGTGCCTCAGTAGCGCAGGAAGGCAACCAAGACGGCGCCCGAATCTGCTCAGCAAAAACATTTGGGATAGATATCATCAAAGGCGTGGGATGCGACTGGGGTTTGACATACCTCTTGCTTCTGCTTCTTGATCTGCAGCGGGTCCTCAATCTTCTTGATGCCGTTAGCCAAGGCCTTTTGCTTCTTGTCGACAAGCTTTGAGTGATCTAGACGAGTAATGTTGCCATGAGTTTTTTCGTAAGTATCGGCGATATGGCCGGGCGTCAGTTTGGGAAGCTTGAATGGGGCTTCGGCCCTAGCTGCAGGTTGCGCAGCCTTTGCACGCATGCGCTCAGCAGCCTCGTTAAGCAGCTCTCGAATCTGCTCATCGGAGAGATCCTCGTCCGAGTTGTCGACGAGCGGCTGGTGCGTTGGCAGCTCCATGCTGGCGGTGACGGGGAGAGGAGGGAAAATTTGGAGAACAACTTTTTTGAAAAGGTCGGGCGCACGGGCCATGTCGGCAAAGCTAAGCTGCTTGCGTCAGATGCCTTGCATGGCCGCCGACGAACCATGCACATGTACTTGTAGCATGTATGGATGGATGTAAGTAAGTACATACATGGTACGAGGCTGGCCGGGCATTTTGTGATACAAGAGGTCATCAATGGCAATGACTTGCATTGGGCGTCCTGGTGCATGGGAACGTCTGCCCCTGCTGCTCGCGTCTGCCACGTCAAGTCACGCACAGCACCGCAACCGTCGAGATCTTGGTGTGCGGTCAGCTTGGGCATATTGGCTCATGACGCGTGCGTGCATATCATGGCGCATTGAAGAGAACTGAGGACGAACAACTCATCGCTGGCATGGCCCGTTGGCCAGAGGGCCAATCAGGACACTGGGCCTCGGTCACGATGCGGCCGAGCATTGCGCCTTGAAGAGGCACAAATGTGATAGAGGCGGCAGACACACGGCGTCGCTCCTGTGCTGTCACTGCTCTAGGCATTGCGGACGGGCGCAGTGCGACATGGATAGCACGCATACATGGGTATATTAAGCGTGGTCGAGTGACAATGAGGCGAGCATCTGGCTGTGGACGAGACGACGCTGCAACGCGGTCGCTACGTGCCAAACTCGCGCCTCGACGGCCTTTGTGGACTACGGTCAAGAGCAATCAATTTAATCAATTCCTGCTGCGCCCACTCGCCACCCTCTCCAACACTGGTCTCTGAGAAGCTGGGTAACGTCGGAGCCCTTGCTTAGCTGTGGTTCGTCGACCCGTTGGAAACCCACCAACCAACCAACCATCAACTCCGCGAAGATATACTCGGGGTGGAATTTGATTCGTCAGGCCCAAGCACAGGTCAGTCGCGTTTCTTGTCCAACGTCGAGAGTCGAGATGAGTTTGTGCAATAGAAGAAAGCTCATACACGATGCCAGGCCGCCCGCAGCATCGCCTCTCGCCCCAAAAAACAGGCATTCGCGTCTTCCCCGCGCCATCTCTCTGCACCTTTCCCGGCCACTCAGACCGTACCTTTGACGCAACCACACCCGCGTCCTCCTCCCACAACGCGCCTATACCAATCCCTTGACGACTCATTGGGCACCGCGCATACTTGTCCTGCACAGAGCCGCTCTCTTCGCCCAATTTCCCTGCGCCGTCCGGTCTCCAGACGCACCTGACAGACGCGCACCCAGCCCACCGTGTCGCACTTGCGCAACCCAGCCCACGCCATGGATCAAGTCAACCTCCAGGGCCACGGCCAGCAGAAGATGCGCCCGGCCACTGCTGCACCCCGCAAGTACGACGGCCAGCAAGGCAATCCACTCTACGACCCTGCCAATGGCGGTCACTATGGTACGTCGATGAAGCTCCAGCCGGCGCATTCCCCGTTGACCGCTTGTGCTAATACAATGCTCCAGGCGCATCCGCAGCTGTATGTCTTCTTGCACCTCCAAGGCTCTCCCGAGCTTACCGTCGCTGATATTTGGTCCAGATTGCCGCGCAAAACCAAGCTCCAGACCCACAGCTCTTCACTGGTTCCTGGCAGAATGTACGCACCCAACGCCCAAACGCCTACGGCGCCCGGCATCCTCGTAGCTGACACTTGCAGGTGAACCAAGGCCTCACGGGAAACTACCGCGACATTCTCAACACGTACTGGCAGCAACAAGTAACGAAGCTCGAGACGGATGAACATGACTATAAGCTGCACCAGCTCCCGCTCGCCCGCATCAAAAAGGTCATGAAGGCGGATCCCGAAGTGAAGATGATCTCTGCCGAAGCGCCCATCCTCTTCGCCAAGGGATGCGATATCTTCATCACGGAGCTCACGATGCGTGCGTGGATCCACGCCGAAGAGAACAAGCGTCGCACTCTGCAGCGCTCCGACATTGCCTCCGCATTGTCCAAGTCGGACATGTTTGACTTTCTTATCGATATCGTCCCTCGTGAAGAGGCGCATCCACACAAGAGAAGCGCGGGCCAAAACGCGGCCGTGCAATCGTCGGCTGCAGTGGTTCCCCCCGGCGGCATGCCTCAGCCTGTGCACGCCCAGCACCCAATGGCTCCTCCCGACTACGGCATGAACCAACACCTCGCCCAGCAAGAGGACTACCGACAGTCATCCATGTACCCAGGGCCTGTGCAGGGCGACCCGAGCGTGTATGCGCAGCAGGGCATGTTTGATCCCAATGCGTACGGCCCATACGGCGCCATGGGGCAGCAGCCTCAGATGTACGCAGTTGGCCAGCGCGGGCCAGATCCCAATGCCGGCGACCCACAGGGCTTTGGTCGGTATGGCGAGGCTGACGCTGATGACGATGCTCAGGGCGAGCGCGTGGACGCGGACAACTAGTTGTTGACCAAACCTCTGGCTCCCAGCGATGGCTAGTCGCTATGTTGGCACGACGGATTGTGCGCGTGTGCGCTATTGATATCAAATTGATCTTGGATATGGCGTTTAGGTACGGTGTTTGGGCACACGGCCGCGGAATGGCTAGGTATCATGAAAGGCGTCATAAGACAATATCACTTAATGGAAAGTCAATTAGCTTGTCGAAAACATGTGATGCTTCTCCCGTAACAGCTTAGGCAGCGAGGCTTGTTTGCCATGACGTTAGCAGCGATGCCCCGGTCTATTCCGGTACCTGGAGCGCGCTGGACAGGCCCGAGGTCCTTGTTGGCTGAAAGACTTGAACGATGCGCGGGTCAATGTCTTTGTACCTGCATTTTCTAGCGGGCTCCGTCGTATTCCGAACATGGTGTGGCACCGAGGCACATCACATGCGAGACTTGTGGCTGGGAAGCAGTAGGGGAGGCATTGTGTATACAGCTTGGAGGTGGATGTTTGAGTGCTGTGCTTTGCATGACTGATGCATGCCTGGGAGTGCTCCGAACCAGAACTGCATACCCGCCTGGCGAAACCAGGGCTGTCGCGGACTTGATGTGATCTGCCCTAGAAAGCACTAGGCGTGACGGCCTTTAGGTGAGGCGCGTCCCATGCTCCGCCCGGTACCCCGCCGTTAAAGGCCCGTGCTCCACCCCCACCTGCGCGAGACCAACAGAACAAGTGCATAGTCCAGCGCTCACCCTACATCAAGCCACCATTCTGCCTCTTCTTCTCTTCTCTTCTCTCACCGACTCCTCAATTGCTTTCTATCAAACTTTCTCCTCCACAAAACACCCCTCGTTCTTCATCAAATCACATCAAAAATGGTCAAGGCTGTAGTAGCTGGAGCTTCCGGAGGCATCGGACAGGTACGAGCCCGCGAGCACCCAAAGGGTCCATGAACCCCCATTGCATCACCTGCTAACCAACGTGAAATAGCCCCTCTCTCTGCTCCTCAAGAACAACCAGCACGTCACTGAGCTCGCCCTCTACGATGTTGTAAACACTCCAGGTGTTGCTGCTGACCTGTCTCACATCTCAACCCCCGCGGTATGAGGTGCTCGCCCCGCATTCACGTAAACACACTAAAGTTGTTTAGATTGTAAAAGGCTACCTGCCCAAGGACGATGGTCTGAAGGGCGCCCTTACCGGTGCTGACATTGTTGTCATCCCTGCTGGTATTCCTCGTAAGTTGGATACATTCTGTGGCTCGGCAAGCAAATACTGACAAAGTATCAGGCAAGCCCGGTATGACGCGCGATGATCTGTTCAAGATCAACGCCGGCATTGTCAAGGGTCTCATCGAGGGCATTGCCCAATTCTGCCCTAAGGCTTTCGTCCTCATCATCTCCAACCCCGTCAACTCGACAGTCCCCATCGCTGCCGAGGTCCTCAAGAAGGCTGGTGTCTTCGACCCCAAGAAGCTCTTCGGTGTCACCACTCTAGACGTCGTCCGTGCCGAGACATTCGTTGCCGAGATTATCGGCGAGAAGAACCCCGGAAACCTCAACATTCCCGTCATTGGCGGCCACTCTGGCGAGACCATTGTTCCGCTCTTTAGCCAGGCTAAGCCAAGCGTGAACATTCCAGCAGACAAGCTTGAAGCCCTCGTCAAGCGTGTCCAATTCGGTGGTGATGAGGTCGTCCAGGCAAAGGATGGTGCTGGTTCAGCCACCCTTTCCATGGCCTACGCCGGATACCGGTAAGTTTTGTATGGCTTCACTTTGAGATGACATAGCCTAACCACAGATAGATTCGCCGAAAAGGTTATCAAGGCCGCCAACGGCGAGAAGGGCATTGTCGAGCCCAGCTACGTCTACCTCCCTGGTGTCGAGGGTGGTGACGCAATTGCTAAGGCTACTGGAACCGAGTTCTTCTCTGTACCAATCGAGCTTGGTGTAAGTGATTCAAGACGAGCTTGTCACCTTTCGTATCCTGTGGCTTTACTGACCTTTTCCAATAGCCCAGTGGTGCCGAGAAGGCCATCGATGTCGTCAGCAGTGCGAACGACCACGAGAAGACTCTCCTCAAGGCCTGCTACGAGGGCCTGGGTGGCAACATTACCAAGGGTGTTGAGTTTGTCAAGACTTCTTAGTGAGTAGACTGTATTGCAGTATTGATCGAGTATGAAGCTGATGAAATCATGCAGAGGAACTATAGACCTCCATGATAGATGATGCGAGACGAACCCACGTGAAGACATGTATCGGAATGCCCATGATCACATGCCAATGATCAAATGCCACTGTGAGCAGAAGAATGAATAAATTTATGAATACCACAAAGACCCTTGCATGATTCTGAGACGCATTAGTGCTTTTGTGATAAACATGTTCTGATCAAAATAGGGTATGTCCCGCAAATTACGACCCAAACAGGACCTTTTTTGTTCATCATGCTATACGGGCTCGCAATCCTTGTTGAAATGTGTCCGTAGCCAACGAGCATACCTATAGTCGTCGGATTACCTATTTCAGAGCGGTAAATGGATGTTCACAGAGAACCAGTACTGTAGGCGAAGTATGAAAACCGAAAAGAAAGGGGGGCTGAGATTATTCTTTACAATTTTCAGATGGCATTGTTTTGGGGCACATCTAGAGAATCAACTACCTATGCGAGCCCACGCAAAATGATGACTGGCTAGGCGACATCAAGGCTAGCCATGGTTTGGGTTATTGACACTTTGTACTGATTTACATATATAGTCACACACCTATCTATCCCTCTCCTCCATCATTCATCAAACACAGCTATCGACTATACAGACAAGCCCGAGTACATCCAAAATGTGTTTGTCTTTCCTGGACCTCCCCCTGGAGTTAAGGCTCATGGTCTACGAGCACTTATCCATCACCACAAAGCACCTAGTTCTCGAACACGCACTCGGCGAGTATGGTCGTGCGTCGACCATTCGGCTTGTCGTAAAATCTGCGCCCGTCGAGATCTTGAGGACCTGTCGATTGATCCACCAAGAGGCCCATTCATATGTCAACAGGCTTGTGGAAAGATGCCAACGCCTGCAAGTCATTGTCGACTTAACCATGATGAGAACCTTTTGTGAAATAGTCTGCAGCACAACGGCTGAAGATGTGGGAAAGGCCTTCATAACGATTATGCAAGAGTCTTATTTAGCTACAGATCTACCCGTAGAGCAAGGCCAGTACCGAAGCCGTTCCAGTTTGCCACCATCAGGTCGCTTGGTATCGACGGAAGACGCAAACAAATTCCGACACTTTATTGAGCGGAGCATTAAGTATGTAAACCACATGCGCAACAGGTGCATACTAGAGATTGCTGTCAGGATACCAGACGATATCAGAGTGATGACAGGGCGGACATACTGTCCATTAATAGGTTTTCCATGGAGAATGAAGCATCGGAGGCAAAGATTTCGCTTATATGCTAGGGTGGAAGGAGAACTGGATACCACTGATGAAATCGAATACGGCATGCTGATAACAGAATGGAGTTATTCTTTGCGTTATGATGGTCAAGAAGACGCGAAGGCGCTCGATGATGTAGAATGGCAAGCCGACTGGGAAGAAACTGAGGTTCGGGAGAATTATGTAGAGGCAGAAGCGGCGTTATACGCAATGTTAGAGGAGGCTTGCAGGCAACCATCACGTCGTCTTGGGTGGAGCTTGCCAATGTTGCAAAGCACAGTGAGAACTCGACGCATGTAGTTAGGAAAGACGACAAAAATTATTGTATTTTGTGTTCCAGATTTTGATTCTAGCATTGTATGGATAGATATACATAAGTGGTGTTGGGATGTTGGCAAGACGTGCCGAGCCATGACACTAGGGACTAGCAGGACCCTTGCCGGATGATCGACGGTAGTATGTAGTTCTGAATAGCCCACATGGAGCTCCAACGCCGACGTACCGCATTGCGCTTTGTGACTGCGATTCCCCGCCTACAACCCGATAATTCCCCAGCACTGATCCCCCGCAACAAACAGTACGACACAAAAATAGCCCGATATCCAGCGGCGTCTCAATTCCATCTGCAGAGCCCCCAGCAATATCCAACAACGCGCACACCATTCGGCACAGTACACTCGAGTCGACACACTAGATACCCGCCCAGCAGACAAACAAGCCCATATACACACCGAAACAATACCTACGAAACATGGCGCAAGCCAACCCCTCCGTCCCGAGCGAAACCTCACCTCCCTACGTCGACCCCACTTTCTCACTCATAAACACATCATGCCTGGACCTCCTCCTCATCGAACTGGTCCCCATGGCCTACCGCATAACCGCCGACCTGGCCGCCCGAGAAGAAGAATGGATCCACGGTACCGCCACCAGCGCAGCCTCACCTAGCGCGCGACCCAAGCAGCTCGCTGGGTCCCCCGGCAACGACGCCGCGAGCACGGTAGCCGCGCGGACAGAAGGCGGAGGCCACGTTGGTGTCGCAGGGACCGTAGACGAGGAGGATAGTAGGGAAGCCGTATTTCACCGGTTAGAAGCGCTGGGGTATCGAGTTGGTCTTGGGGTTGTGGAACGGTAATTTTCCCCTCCCCTCCCCTCCCCTCCATATATCCACCTATCTTTTGCCTCTTCCCCCCTCCCCTTCCTACCCTACTTCACCTTTGAACGATTGAATGACCGAATTGCTGACGCAACAACAAAAAAAAGTTTCTCTCGCGATGCCCCCCGCCCCACGACCCCGCTCGATTGCATCAAATTCCTCTGCAAAGACCTCTGGACCCTCCTCTTCCGCAAGCAAATCGATAACCTCAAAACTAATCACCGCGGCATCTACGTCCTCACTGATAACACCTTCAAGCCTCTCGGCCGCATGTCCTTCGACACCAAGAAATACGATGCTAGTATGCAGGCGGCGCTGGTGGCGCAGACAGGGGATCCCGCGTTGGGGCGAGAGGCAAATTCGCAGGCGCGGGTTCAGCCGTTTCTTTATTTCCCAGCGGGCTTGATAAGGGGTTGTCTTGCTGCGCTGGGGATTCAGGCCAGTGTTACAGCAGAGAGCGTGGCGTTGCCTGGGGCTACGTTTCAGATTCGGACGGTGGGCGCGAATAGTTGAGGGTTGGTTGTTCGAGATATGGCTAGGGGCTATGTCTTGAGTTTTGTGATTGTATTGTAGGTTTTTTTTGGAGCGGCATTTATGGGCGTTTTTTTTTGTTTTCTGAGAGGATGAATGATGAAGATGGGTATGAATATGGTTGCATTAGATGTTGTACATATGGGCGATATCCGAATACATATGTTTATCATCACTTTAGTTTTTTGCACGAGCATATATACATGCAGATAGCAAGGCAACGAGTCAATGTTGTACAAGACTAAAATACAGCAAGAATCATTCATTTCACTTAGTCCATTGAGACACGGTGATGAACGATATCTCATTTCCAATTCCAATTCCAAAAGAAGACAAGACGCCACTAATGCCCTAGACAAAAGGCACATAGTGCCTGTCCGTTTTCCCTTGACCCAGATAAACCTCAAAGAAAAAAAAGAAAAATCAAACGTTGCTCGGTCCACCGGGACCCTTGGGATCAAGCAACAAATGCGGTTTCAAGAAGCCATCATCAATCTGCTTAAAGGCGTTTGCAGGATCGTGGCTGATTTCACTAATAAGCTGCTTCACCGCACCAGTAGCGGTAGCCACTCTACCCGGCCCTTCTGGTGGTTTATGACCAGAAGTCGGGTACGGTGATACGGTCTGAGAGGCGCCTGCAAGTGGGGATGAGGAGCGGTTGGGGGAGCGGCGGGCGCTCGGGGGTAGGTCGAGATCAATGTCGTCTTCGTCATTTGAGGCGCTGTCTCCGGGGCTGAGGAGACCCTGGTCTGCGCCGTCGCGGGCGCGGACGTGGCTGGAGTTGCGCCGGGTGGCGCCATTTGGACGGGTTCGGGGACTGCTGCGGCTGCGGGAGCCGCTGGAGTAGGAACCTTCTTGGCTGTTGACGTTGTTGAGGGTGAAGGCGCCCTGGCTGGGGCGCGGGGTGTGGCCATAGCCTTGGCCTTGCTTACGGCTATATGTGCCGCCGTTGACGACCTCAATGTCGAATTCGTCGTCGCTGTCGATTTCCTCGACAATACCGGTGCGGATGCCAAGGATCTCCAACATGCGCGCGGTAGTGCCGCCAAAGATGATGACGGTCAAGACGACGACAACAAGGACAGTTGCTCGTAGGGTATCGCCATTGTTACCTGTCAGGCCTGCAGCGAGCGCAACACCAACGGCACCACGCAGACCCGCCCAGTAAATCATGGCCTGGTGAGCCCAAGGAATCTCTTCTATGAGCTCTTCGCCACGCCTGCGCTGGCGGTACCGGGTCACGGAGTTGATGATTCTAGAAAGCGGAAATACGGCACACCATCGAGCCGCGCAGATACCAGCGACGGTAATGAGGATAAACAGAGGCTTATAGTCAAGCTTGTCATCGGTAAAGAGCGAAAGTCCCAGGTAGATGAAGATAAAATTCTCTGAAATCTGTGACGTGACTTGGAAGACAAACTTGGTAGTGAGCTGTGTTCGCCTTGACATGTTGTGGTAAGCATAGTGTTTCATGCATATGCCGCAGAATAATAGCGAGACAATACCTGCACCCGGTCAGCAGCAATACATACTCACAATTCTGCAGCACTTACCCGACATGTGAATGGCGTTAGACATAAAGTATGTCAAGTATGCAGTGAGAATAATCAGGCAACTCTCCGTCTTGGGGAAGCGTCTGACATAGGTGAACTTGAGCATTAGAGAGACGGCAATGCCGACCGTAACACCGATAAACAGACTACCGAAGAAGACACCAAAGAAAATGCCAAAGGCCTCGAACAAGCTGAGTATACCCAGCGACTCTGCGCCATCCTTGTACTTTTGTGCGGTTTCAAACAAGACGATAGCAACAGCATCATTCAAGATTGACTCGCCAAAAATGAGCGTGTACAGCTTGGGCTCTACTTTGTACGTATCAAAGATGGCAAGAATAGTCACGGGATCCGTGGCCGAAAGAGTGGCGCCCACGGACATGGCCTCGACAAAGTTGATCTTGAAGCCATCGAGAGGGATCCTGGTCCAGAGGAACAGAATGAGGCCGAGGACTAGAGCAGAGATGAAGGTGCCTGCAAAGGCAAACGTAAGGATAGTGCCGATATGACGAAAGAAGTTGCCCTAAGATTTGTTAGGACACGACAAGGAGCAGGGGTGTGTATGCAAGAACCCACTTGGTGCAATTCGTAGCCGGCCGACAGGATGATGGGAGGCAGCAGCAGGTTGAAGAACATTTGGTAGTCAAAACTGACGGCATCCCGCACGGATGCTACTGCTGTCAGGCGGAGGATGAGACCAACGACCATTCCTGAAAGTGGTTAGCGGGTCGTGTGGTAGCGTGCTCCGGTTACGATGTGAGCCAAGGCGGGATTGCAGTGGACAGAACATGTGCAGATTTACCCCACTAATCAATCGCTGATCGAGCTTCTGCCCCAAGCTTGCAGGGCGATGGCTTGTAACCCAGTATATGCACTACTTGGGGCGTGTCACGACGATTGCGCAAGAGCAGTAGAGGCCACGGAGGCGGGCGTGGGGCAACGTACCAGCAAAGATGGACAAGACGGTTTCATGGACGGCCTGTATTTTGCGTGTATGCAGGATGTAGCTGGTAAAGAGGGCGATGATGAGCAGGACGATGAGAATGGACAAGGCCCACGATGTGAAGATTTCCTTTTGGCCGGCCTCGGGTTCGTCTGGTGCGGGCATTAGACAGGCTTGGGGCGCGGGGGATTTGAAGAGGGCATGGGTAACTGACCGTCTGGGTCTGCGTCGGTCGTGTCTCGCTCTGTAGCAAAAATAGGTCAGTGGTGATCTGGGGGACATGGTGTCTCATGGCATGGGCTTCGAGGGCGCATACTGAGGAGCTGGCCGACGGCCCACCAGCCCATTATGGAAGCCATGCTGGGCTCAAGGCGGCGCTTTCATGGGCCGGATCGCGTCGCTTCGCAGATGAGTCGAGGGAGCAGGGCGTGTGTGATGGACGGCACAGGTGGGTGGTGTTGGGCGCGGGTCTTGGATGAAGGGCCACGGGCGCGCCAGATGACAGAGGGCGGATGGCGCGAGTGGACAGGCAGTGGCAGTGGCAGTGAGAGTGGCTGGGCAGGGCAGGGCAGGGCAGCGAGGGTGTGAGGGCGAGCGTGATCAATTCACTGTGACGTGTCTGTGTGTGCGTCTGTAGGATGTATGTAGACTGTATGCAGTGTGCATGTATGTAGGTATGTGTTCTCTGGGAGTTGCTGCCTCGCCCTCTGCGCCCCCAGCAAAGCTGCCCAGGTGTCTGTTCGTCGTCCCATGTCCCGGCACACGGCCCTCCCGCCCTAGCGCCGCATCGGGCCTAGCGCGCCGACCAGGGTCTGAGGAACCGCTCGCTCATGGCCCAACGTCATCCTACATGCTTCCCGCACACACACTGCCTGCATGACATCGACTTTGAATCGCCCTGCTGAGCGCAAAAGACACCCAACCACCACACACACTCACGCTTGCACGCGCATACGCTCGCGCGCACATGACCTACACCGCTCTCCTCGGCGCCTGGTGACGTTCGCCTGCTGATTCGACTCGCCCTCCTTCGCCTCCCCGCCACTGCCGCCTCCAGCTGCAGTGCGGCTCGTCATTTGCGCAGCCCTTTATTCTTGCTGAGCACGCCGCCAGCCGTTGTGCGCCCCAGCGGAACCGCTAGCTTCTCTTTCACTGTGCTGCATATCTTGGCCCCTCCGCCGTGACTTTTGCCTGCAACCAGCCCTGTCTCTCACCACATCACTCCACCCTCCCTCGAGACTGCTGCCCGCCGCCCGCCGCCCGCTGCCAACTGACCCTGGCAGCAAGCCTGCCAATCACAGCCTCGCCGACCCTGACCACTGCAGTAATCTATCTCCAGACCTGACCACGTCGCCGCCTGCACAGCAACCCGATCGCGTGTTGTCCCAACGCCCACTGCCACATCATGTCTTCGACGCCTCCGTCCCGTGGCCGAGATGACTCTGCTCCAGGGCCCCTTTCCCCGCCTCTATCTAGACTCGACACTTCCTCCCCTCGTCCCAAACCACGACCCAAACTCGTCTCTTTTGCCCCCGACTCTTCCCTGGGCGGCCGCCCCGACACTGACGGAGACGCTGAGATAGAATTCATCCACCACGCAGACCATCCGCCCCGCATGTCTTCCGAAATCGACCCGCTCCTTAAGGAGGCCATGTCGCCCAACAGCGAAGACGACAGCTGGTTGGGTGAATCACAGGTCGAGGAGACAAAGTCAAGCTGGTTCCTCTTCCTACTCACTTTCGGCGGCCTCGGCCTGCAAATCGGTTGGTCTGTAGAAACTTCAAACGGCTCGGTAAGTGCTTTTTCCACCTGCCTCTTCAAAAAAACTTCACTGGCACGCTATGGACCCTGCGTCCAGATCGGCGTCCTGCTGCTTGTGTTTCCGCGGTGGCGAGTTTGCGACTAACGTTCTCTGCAGCCCTATCTTCTGTCGCTCGGTCTGAGCAAGTCAATGCTTGCCCTCGTCTGGATTGCCGGTCCTCTCTCGGGTGTACTTGTCCAGCCCTACGTCGGCCTCAAGAGCGACAATTGCCGTCTGCGATGGGGAAAGCGGAGACCTTTCATTGTTGGCGGAGCCGCCGCGACCATCTTGTCTCTCATGGTTCTCGCTTGGGCTAAAGAGATCATGGGCGGTTTCCTGGGTATCTTTGGCGCAGACCCAGAGTCCACTTTTGTCAAGACAAGTATCATGCTTTTCGCTGTCCTCTTCGTATATGTGCTGGATTTTGCCATCAACGTCATCCAAGCTGGCGTGCGAGCATACATTGTCGATGTTGCGCCCACGCACCAGCAGGAGTCTGCCAATGCATGGCTGATGAGGTCGGCGGGTATTGGCAACATCTTGGGCTACCTCGCTGGCTACATCAACTTGCCAGACTATCTCCCGTGGCTCGGCAACACCCAGTTCAAGGTCCTTTGCGCCATTGCATCCTTTGTCATGGCTCTCACTGTCGGCGTCAGTTGCTCCGCATGCGCCGAACGTGACCCACAGTTCGATACCGCTCCTGCCAACCAGCAAGATGGTGTTATTGCTTTTTTCAAAGGCCTTGCACGCTCAGTCAAGAAACTGCCTCCTCAAATCAAGAAAGTCTGCATGGTGCAGTTCTTTGCTTGGATCGGATGGTTTCCCTTTCTCTTCTACATCACCACCTACGTTGGCGAGATCTACGCCGACCCATTTTTTGAGGAGGACCCACATCTCCCAGATCGACAGATCGACGGTATCCTTGAAGATGGAACCAGAATTGGTACAAGAGCTTTGTTGATTTTCGCCATCACTACGTTCATCGCCTCTGTTATCTTGCCGTTTGTTATTCCCCCAACGTTCCAAGCCCCAGAGCCCGAACGCCCCGTTACTCCCGCGACCCCCATGACGCCATCCACCCCGCATTCCATGAACGGCTCCAGCTACTTTGCACTCAACCACCAGCCCAAAGGATCCTCCAAGACTTTTATGGACAGGCTCTCCAATTCAATGGACGTGTTGCAGATCAGATCGCTAACTCTTCGTCGCGCATGGCTCATATCGCACATTCTGTTCGCTGTCCTAATGGCCCTGACCTTTTTTGTTCGCAGCACCTGGGGCGCTACAGTTCTCGTCGGTGCTATTGGCATTCCTTGGTGTATCACAAACTGGGCGCCATTCGCCATCATTTCTTCTGAAATCTCAAAGCGAGATGCTATTCGCCGCGGCATCATCAAGCCTCGTGACCGTGAAGCGCAACTTATTGCAGAGGGCGAAGATGAAGGTTCAGGTGCGGATTCCGCTGGTGTTGTACTCGGAATCCACAACGTCGCAATTGCGGCACCTCAAGTTATTGCCACATTGATCAGCGCCGTCTTGTTCAGAATCCTACAGAAGCCTAGAGGCACAGCTGGCGACACCAGTGTAGCCTGGGTGCTGCGCTTTGGAGGCATCTGTGCTCTAGTCGCTGCATGGCTGACACTCCAAGTCAACGAGGAAAAAGAAGACGTTGAAACCGAAGAACCCTTCAGGAGGAGGCGGATGTCTTAGGACGACTCCGATGAGTATTCTTTGGCTCATCTTAGACATGAGTTGGCCCAGTCTCTTAGCCGGCAAAACTCTCTAGATGGAGACACCTTGACAAGCTTAGACAATGGCGGAAGACGAGGCAAGATTTGGGAAATATTCCAACGGCATTAGCCAGACCTGCCACCCTCTGGCATACGCATTGCGCCCCCCTTTGGATTTTCTGGTTCCAAAAGTCTGGTTGTCTATTAGACTCTGGTTCCCTCCTCCCCCCTTGAATTAGACTGTGATACTCCCTGTGGGTTTTCGAGCGAAGGCGTTCTTCCCTTTCCTTTTTTTTCATACGGCGTCTTGACAAGAGATTCCACACACACCTTTTTCAACGGCTTTATGAGATGGAATCAGCGGAGTTCTTGGGAGGGATTATACACACACATCCATGTACATGCGGATGGATGGATTTGGGGTTTTTCCTGGGAATCGGCGCGGATAGTGGCGTTGTTCTTTCAATGGATAGGGAAAATTATACCACACACGCTCTTTTTTTTCTAGTGATTAGTAGGAAATCTAGGACCTTTTTTTGCTACTGTATTGTAGCTTTGGCGTTTCAATGAAGTAGATAGGTGGCTCTTTGATGTATTTATTCATGTTATTTAGCACAACTTTTTAATTTTGCCGACTATGGTGATTACGACACTCAATCCCTTTCTTGCATTGTCTCTATAGGAAGAAAAAAAACACCAACACGGAAGAAAAAACCTTGTGACTAACACCCACGACAAATTCAGGACTTGAGAAAAAAGAATAATCAACATCCTTTTTTCGATATTTCCAAAATTTGGCAGCGAAGCTACGCCTTTTCCCAGATTCAAGTTGCCGAAAAACTTTCCTTGGAATTCTCTCTCTCTCTTTCTTTCTTTCTATTTCTCGGTCTTCAAAGGTACTGCAATATTCTAGGGCTAGAAGAAGAAGAAGAAGAAGAAGAAGAAGAAAAGGATTGGAAACTGATGACAAGCTAGCACCAAAGTACATGCATTGTCACGTGCTACCTACTCCTAACACGGCCAACACACAAAGAGGAAATACATTGTTGTTGAAGCAAGCTATACTTGGTTGACATTGCTGCAGATAATATTACATAGTTTTTTCCTATTTTCTTTTCCAAAAAAAGACATAGTATTATTATTACTTTGACTAGTTGAAAAATTATCGTCCATTGCTTCATCACCGACACCCTACAAGCCTGTGCAGCGCTTGGGAGAGGTTTTTTTTCCCAATCTAGTGGTATACATGTTTGAAACCGGTACCATATCTTTTCTTTCTTTCTTTCTTTCTTTCTTTCGACTACTCGCTTTAATCTATGGAGAAGCGGGAAAAAAAAAGATAGTGGTGAAGGAGGGTTGGAAAAGGAAGATTCTTGATGCTTTGCTAAGGAAGAGATGTAGTGAGGTTATGCGTGATTTGTGCTTACTATAGTGAGGAACGACGAAGTGTCGAAGGAGGAGGATGCTTGGAAAGGCAGTGACTATGTAAGTACCACAATTGGATCTTAATGGCAATTTTGGAAGAAAAAAAAACGAGAGACACTGTTCTATTGTTGCTTTGACCTGAAAATAATGAATCTCGCCTTAAACCTCCTCGCTTCCCTCCTCACAAACTATCTATGTACAAAGAAAGTTGTCCTTAGACCCTGCTCTACCGTCCTTCTAGAGCCAAAAATGCCCAGAAAGCGCGCCACTGCTCTACAGAGGCGGGTTGGCGTTCTTGACAAGCATCTCAAAGTAGGCCTGGTTCCAGGCTCCAGCCTCGGGACTGGGCTTGAAGGCATCGTCCTTGCCACAGAATGAATCGTAGCGCTTCGCGGATGAGTCGCTGGTACCGTCGCTTTCACCACCGGGCTTACCCCACACCAAGGCATCGATGAGCGAAGATCCAGTGTCAGATGTCGGGCGACGGCCGAATCCAGCACCCTTGACATTGCACCAGTCACCCCACTCCTTGCGGAGACCAGTGACGCCATTGCGGCCAGTGTCGACAATAGCCTGGCCGGGCATGCCTGCCGAGACAAGTTCGGGCGAGATGAGAGAAACGTACTTCTTCTCGTTTTGTGCCTTGTTGTATTGGCCGTCGGAGGAACCAGCAAACTCTCCAGGCTCGAGGTCCAGCGAGTTCCAGCCGGCAATGTTGGTCGCGATACCGCGCACTGACTTGGGGCTGCCAGCGTTCTTGTAGACCGTTGCAAGCTCCTTAGCGCCCGGCTCTGCTCAGATTAGCTTCTGTTTTTTTCTCTTCTTCATGTATGATTTAATGAGAGGTAAAGGAGAGTACGTACTGAGATTGGCGTCCCAGCCGAGCCAGCCACCGTGACCAGCATCCACGTATTGAGCTACGTTGGGGAGATCTAGCGACTTAAGCGCATATGCAACTCCCTCGCGGTATCCGGCAGCAGAGGCCTGGCACGTCGCCAAGTTGCTGTTGGTGACCAAGTTGGGCAAAGAGTCGGGCTCGATGATCAGAGCGAAAGCGATGTTTGGGTACTTCTTGATGAGTGCAACAATGGCTATGGTGAAATTCCGGGTTAGTGGCGAGATTCGCATAAGATAAAGTGATGATTAGTACTCACGATCAATGTACTGCGTCTTGTAAATGTTGATTTCGCCAACGGCAAGTTCACCGGTGGATGCTTTGGCGGCGCAGTCGCGACCAGGCAGATCGTAAACGATGATTCCGCGAATCTGGTTGCAGGCGGTATTCTTGACGATGTCGTCGAGCATCTTGATCTTTTCACGCGTATCACTGAATTGCATGTCAGTATCCTCTTCACTAGAAACCATACAGTCCGAGCTATGAGCGCCTTACACCCAGAAAAAGCTTCCAATATCAGCGACCTTGGCCGCTTTTGCGGCAAGTGACGAGTCGCTGATGTTGGAGACAGCTGCTTTGACCTCGGTAGCATAGAAACCATTGGGAGCGAGGGTGCGATTGGAGAACGGGTTTCCAGATAGAGTGACAGGAGAAGAGCATACTGCGGCCTGGCGGGCAGCGATGTCGCGGCGCTCGGCAGGAGAAGGCAATGCAAGAGCGCCAGAGATGGCCGAAGCCACGGTTGCGGAGAGAAGGCCTTTCATGGTAGTGGCTGTAAGAAAACGTGCGAATGCAAGAGAGCGTGTGGTAGTTTGGATGCTGAGATATTCAAGTGACGAGCCTCCTTCTTATACAACTCACGTACTGGCAGCCCAGAATTAGGATACTCGTCCATCGGAAAGCAGGCCCGAGGGTGATTGACAAGGAGCAGTTGTCAGGTTTGGGTGATCAGCTCCCAAGAAATAAGATTTAGATGAAACGTATATCATGTGGGGAACGATACTATACCAAGTTTAACTGTAGTAAAGTGCCAATTTAGTAGGAGGCAAGAGTGCTGTTCTTGCAGTGGAGTCGAGATTTGGCACTTGGGTAACATTTGATAAGCTGGGCTTCGTTGGAGCGGCAGTGCCTTGCCATCTCATATTCGTCGATGAGATAGTGTTGGAACACTTCTCAAAGTCTCTTCCCAAAAGTAGGATCTGAAGCGCAAACGGTGCCTAATTTGTCTTTGTGTATGCGTCCTTGATTGGCATATATGACTAGCAGGGTCAATAGATGAATGTCTTACGAGAGACTTTAAAACTGCGGGGATGTTGGCTTTCCGAGCCTCTACCCCGCGGTCTCGACGTTAATTTCTCAGCCTCATCTATGAATACCCCGACGAATCGACTATGGGAATGATGGCGATGTTCGAGCATACCAAGCAACGAGATGGCCTCGGTCGACCACGTCTATCATTCCACCATGCTTACTTGACCACTACAAACTGAAGCACCAGGGCATTGTATAGTTAGCCTCATTTGTGGGTACATGTAAATTTGTACTTGGATTGTGCGGTACACGACTCCGAGCCGCCGGATGACGCAGCAGTGATGAGCCTGCATACAGTGTGTTGAAGCTATATGGCCCCATGGCATAGATGTATCAGGTGTTAACAGAATGAGCGCGTTGTTTGGCGTACTAGAAGTAAGCGTACGTATTCGGCCCGGGATGTTTTGGCTGAACCGCCTTCTCGAAACATTCTGCCGTGCACATGACTGCCTAATTTGATGAAGGCAGATCTCGGACACTGCTGAGGATTTCATTTATCCTGACACACGGCACATTGTGCAAACTTCTGGAAGGTGGACCATGGCAGTCGTTCTATGCAAGGGTGGATGCTAGGTGTAACGAGAAGTCAAGTCTATGCACGAACGGGGTGTCGTAGCTTGGAGCAAACGAACGGCTCGTGACTGATGTTACTAGGTTGGTTTTGACTTGTCTGCGCCGCGGTTCAGCGTTTCCCTATACAAAGGCAGTGAGGCTCGGGTACGTTGCGGATAGTCAACGGGGAAATGGGGCATCTCCCTCAGAGTGACTTGGACCGGAAAACAATGTGCTACTATTACTGGGGTGCCGTAATATATGTTGCGGTGTTTGTATCATAGGTAGACGGCGACGCGCTGCAAAGTGTCGCAACCAACCATAGGAGCCTTGGTCGTATAAGGTGATGACAGCAATCTTGCAAAGGCGACATGTGAGTGGGCGAGATATTTGGAAACTCCCGGATGTCGGGTAATTGGAGATACCTGCCGCCATGCACCACGTTTAGTCCCATCTGGTGTTAGCGGCAATATCCAAAGGCTCTTGGTTCACTCAAGCTCCGCATTGTGGCCCCGCAAGCCTCGCAATCGGCCGAATCCTTAAGCTTATGTAGACTTCCGTACCTTTTTGAGACTCCCGGATGATTGATGAGGACCATGCGTGAAGGATAGGACGAAGACTCCGTCGCTGCCGACATCATTCACATTACCCTCCCTCGGTCTACTATGTAGACTTTGGCATCTGAATCAAGTCGGGATAACATCACACTCGCAGGTCAGCGGTATGCTCGTGTCCATGTCCAACTTAGATTGACGTTACCACACTTTTGCGACGAATCACACCACCGCAACCCAATGAGGACACCGCGGTTATAATTTCGTTGTCTCCTATCCTTCCTCTTTTGATTCATTCGCGTCCAGTCTCGATATTGTGAATTGAGATTCACAAAAACATTATTCCGCATCTATTGTTACTTTTCCGTGTGGTGTTTTTGTTTAGCAAGCACGCCGACGAGCTGCATCGTGGTTTCAGAAGCTCGTGGGACGAGATTATAACTTGGATGGCTTGAGGGGTGAGTGGAGTCTGTTGAGTGAAACCCAAAAATCGAATAACATACGCGGTGAACTATTTCACTCAATGTTCCTCGAACGAATGCTATCTGGTAAACCCACCGTGGCCAGACTTCTCGTCCGCGTGTGGAGCATATGCACTAGCCCCAAATGGTCTAGCCCCTCACATTTGACCCAGTCTCCCTCGCCGACTCAAGCACCCCACGCACGACTATTACCCTCACGCCCGAAATAAAGAAATTTATCATATGGCTTTATCAAACTTGATTGAATGAAATGCTGGAGATCTGATTGAGAACACTCTTTTCCTTACGAAACCCAACACGATGCGGGGTAAAGAGTGTTGATAGCTCATTTTCATTGACCAGACTGGACATTAGCAATCGGAAAGATCGAAAATTAGGCACGCAATGTCCAAGCCGTTGACTGAAGCGGATGTTATATTTCCGCATCTCTCCAACACGCCAACCTTATCAAGCACGCTCTCATCGTTGCGCCGTTCAACGCTCTCAACACACAACCGGCTCGCTTCAATCATTTCCGACAGTGCTTTTGTCGAATCTGTTGCATCAGCCTATGAACTTCCTTTGGTAGCCAATGAGCGCTGTGGTAGTTGGTACATTCCACCATCTTTGAAGTCCGGATCCGTCTATTTTAAAAGCACAGACGGCCACATGGGCGAATGGAGTTTCAGCTTGCGAAGGCTGAATTTGCAGTTGCTCGATGTGGTAGAGAAATGGGGCGGTGCAGTCGTAGTGGATAGTACGAGGAGGGGAAAGAGTATGCCAGATGCATTGAGTAAGACGATTCCAACGTGGTGTTGCGTGATGAATCGGGCAGTGTTTGGTGGGGAGAAGGCCAAAGAAGAGATGAGGCTTTTTACACCACCGCAAGCTGTGGGAGAGAGTGAGCATGCACAGATGGAGAAGAGGATAGATGGTTTTGTACAACAGTTCTTGGTATGTTTCCCTGGGCTGTTGAAACGCCGGCATGTAGTGGCTGATGGAACGAAAGGACATTTGCAAACCCAATATCCCACTTCTCCGTAGTAAGCTGAAAAAGCCACTCCGACCCATATGGATAACACAGAAATCTCCTCTTCCGGATTCGGCTCCTTCTTTTCCAGACTTCCATCCCATAGTTCTCTGCACAGCATCACGGCGTGTCCATGGCGCCGAGGCATCAGAAAGCGGATATATTCAGGGCGCTGCAGACGACCACGAGGCATGGTCACATGGACTTACCCCGTCACTCTTCTGGGAAAACAAGGATATGCTGATGAAGATGAATGAAGAGGATGCTCCAAAGATCATTGCAAAGCTGACCAAGGAACAAAAGGGCAGTGGCGCAATTGCAAGCTTGATCAAGCCTACATCACAGCTGTACATCTCATCTAGCGAAGATGTACAACTAGCAGGGTTTGAAACTTTAGTCAGCTGCACACCTGAGTCCTTTGGATCTTCTGCACTCAAAGATGCGGGAGTAAAACGCTACCTTCATCTGAAATGCCAGACTGGTAAGCTGGGATCACGCGATCTTCGCACTCAGCTTCCTCATCTCATACCGTTCTTCTCTTCTCTTCAAACTCCCGACACACACAACAAAATACTCGTGTGCTGTCCTACAGGCAAAGATCTCTCTGTTGGAGCTGCACTAGCGATATTATGTCTTTACACAAACGAAAACGGAGTAGTCGATACAGCAAAAGCAAAAGAAGCCAAGGAAATGGACAAAGCATTCATCAAACAAAGATTGAGCTGGATCACGACGAGCAACGCAGCCCTGAATCCAAGTCGAGCAACACTACAAAGCGTCAACGCCATGCTACTCTCAACCCAAGACCCAAAAGCCTCTCTCCCCACACAACCAACAGCGAACCTCCCAATCCGCGAAACCAGTCCATTACCCTCCGAACCCCCACCACTCTCCAGTCCTAGATCCATCTTCACCAACCTCGCCACCACCTCAACCTGGAAATTCACCCGCAACCTCACCTCCAAGCTCCCCACTCACCCCTCTGGCACCGTAACCGGTACCGCTACCTTCACTCCTGTCCCCCACACATCTTCTATTCCCGTACCAACCTTGCTATATGCTGAAGAAGGCACATTCAGCACAACCACCGGCCTAAGTTTCACCGCGCGCAGAAAATACGTGTACCAGCTCTGCCCTGGTGCTGAGACCGCAGATACCGAGTTCATCGCCGTACGCTTCTTCGACGACGATAAGATGCGTGCGGCGCGGCAGGAGGGTGGTGTTGGAGACGGTGGGCAGGGGGTTGGCGGATTGTTTGTTGAGATGGGGGAGCTGCAAGCGGGCGAGGGGGAGAAGGTGGTTAGAGCGAAGAATAGGGAAACGCATCTTTGTGGGAGGGATTTGTATGCTGCGACGTGGGCTTTTGCGGGGGATATGACGGTGGAAGGGGGTGGAGAGGGAAAGGAAGAGGTGTGGTGGGAGATCGAGTACGAGGTCAAGGGGCCGCAGAAGGATTATACGAGTGTGACGAGGTATACGCGGGTGGAGTAGAGTAGTTTATGTACATTTATTGTTCTTTTTTTGGCTATGTTGATTGTATGGTGTATCTCGCTTTCTCAAGCTTGCTTCGACACCAAAAAATATTTAGATTGGGGACTGCTCTTAAGAATCCTGATCCCCAAATGGATAATTGAATTTCAACAACGCATTCAGACCGCCGACCCAATGATCCTCTGCCATATCCTCTTTGCCCGTTGTGCCTCTAACAATGCTGGGTACGCCACCCTCCCAACCTCTGGCATCACGTTTGACTTCTTCCCCGCTTATGCGGACTTCCATGCCCGTACCCAGTTTCTCTGTGATGGTGCTGCCGTCGATACTAACCTCGACTTCGCGACCGCGGTTCTTGGCGCCGAGACGCAGTGTAATGGGTGTTTCGGCGGGCAGGACTAGGGGTCTGAAAGAGAGTGAGCGCGGGCAGATGGGCGTGAGACAGATTGATGGAACGAGAGGATGCACGATGCTTCCGCCAGAGGAAAGCGAGTATGCGGTTGAGCCTGTGGGCGAGCTGATAATCATACCGTCTGCAACGGCTTCAGTCAGAAAACGATTGTTGATGTATACATCGATAACTTTTAGATGTGGACTTCCGCCGCGGTGCAGCGTGACTTCGTTCAACGCGTAGGTATCACCCTCATCGTCTGTGCTCCCGATTCTCTTCCCGTCGGGCCCGAAAACACCGACTTTGAGTCTGTTGCGGAGGAGGATGCGCGCCGTCCTGTTGGTCCCCATTGCCTTGCCACGTATATCTGCGTAGCTCAATGGTTTGTCTAGAGGATCGTCGGGCGAAGAAGGCAAGCGTGGTGGGCTTTTGCCCAAGGAATCAGATAGCGTTGCGTACGTGTCTGGCGCACCGCTCATGTACACTTCTCGAAACGCCCGTTTGTATTCTTTGAATTTGAATTCGCCCAGGAAACCGATTGTACCCATGGCGAAGCTCAGGACGGGAGGCACATTTTCGGAATGGCTGAAGAGACTGCTAGCTCTCAGCAGCGTTCCGTCTCCGCCTAGAGTGCAGACCAGATCGGTTTTATCCGAAAGCTGCTGCGGCACGCCATTGCTTCTCTTGTATGTATACACGGGAAATGAAAGTTTTTCATGCAGCTCCTCTGCTGTTTCTGGGTCGAAGATGACGTTTATGGCGGGGTAGGTGGAGCGGATATGCGACGTGAACTCAATGACGGACTCGGTGATGTTGGGCGTGCGCTTCTTCTTGGTGACGAGTATATTTCGTGGCGGCGATGGCCATTGCAGGCTGAGGAGCGTGTTGTTGGGGGATTGTATGTACGACGGCTTTGTGCGCAGAGGCAGCTCGGAAATGTGCTTGATCTCGTGACGGCGGGGTGTTGAAGAGAAACTGCGCGCCTGTGCGGGCGAGCCAAGGAGCCGCCACGGCAGAGGGTATCTCTGGGATATGCGCATCTTCGGGGCGCTGTGTATAAGAATATAGCTACGTCTGTAGTTGTGTGCGGTGCGGTGCGCAGAGACTAAGCCGGCGGGTGGATGCCATATGACTGGGCGATGACGAGAGCAACTGTGGGAGCAGCAGTCATGGCGATGCTGGACTGCGAGAGGCGGGCAGTGAATGCAGAGCCACCACACCGAACGTAGGTAGATGGATACATGGGTAGTAGTACTCTGTAGCAGAGTGGTGATGCGGAGATAGCAGGGCTAATCTCCACCTTCACGTGCAAACAACGTGTCGGCAACGTGGGATGGGATGGGATGGGAGCTGTGAGCTGCGGGCTGCGAGCTGCGAGTGAAGGAGAGCCTAGCGTCCCGCAGCGCTCGGGCAATCCCTGTACAGGTGGGGGTATTATCTTTTGGCCCGGTGCCATCATCTCAGATGGACTGAGGTGGATCGGCATCAGCCTGTTGCGCTGCGCGCGTCCACGACACCATAAGCATGGGTACATGCTGCAAGCTGTCGCCTGCTTACCCTGCCTCGTCTTCCTTCTCTCCACCTTCTTTTGCCAGGCAACCGCTACCTCGATCCTTGGATGTCCACCACTCCTCGTTACGCCACGACTCCCCATCACATGCTCAGGCCGCGATTCACGCGCCCATCTGAGCGATCCGGCCACTTCCACTCGGTACACCCATGTACATTCGCTGCACCAGCCCTTGCCTGAGCCAAAAGAATTACCTGACAGCTGTCTGCACATGCTTTCCCCCAACCTTACTATGCCGATCCAAGGCCTCAGACAGCGGCAGATGCCCGTTGAGCCACCTGTCATCGCAAAGCTAAAAGCACAGCGTACCAAAACACCTGCCCGTCCACAAGACCCCGAACCAGCCCAGCATCCAGCGGGCGACATCAAGCATGGCGCACTTTCACAGGCCCTGCGCATGTTTTTGTTCGCAGCCTACTTCGCCGGGAGCATCGTGGCGTCAGTATACACGCATGGCGGATAGGCCCCCACAGGATGCTGACTCTATGTTCCAGCATCGCTATCACACAGTATTTCGGCATTCCCTTGTATCTATACAGCAAGAACCTCTACTATGCATGGATGGCCATGTCCAAACAGCAATTTGGCATCGTCATCACCACCATGACCTACTGGTGGGCTCCCGTTACCATGCGAGTTAGTGGAGATGAGAGCATGAGGGGACAACTGAGAAAAACAAAGGATGGGCGATTGCAGTCCAACTTTCCCGAAAGACTGGTCCTTATTTCCAACCACCAAGTTCGTCTACCCGTCCCCGTCCCGCTTATCCGCCAGCAGCCACTAACACTCCGTAGATTTACACTGATTGGGTCTACCTCTGGTGGGTGGCTTACACGGCTTCGATGCATGGCCATCTCTACATTATCCTTAAAGAGTCGTTGAAGTATATACCCGTCATAGGCTGGGGTATGAGGTTATATGGCTTCATCTTCCTCTCGCGCAAGTGGTCGACGGACAAGGAACGTTTTCAGCATCGGCTGAAAAGGCTGACCACCAGCCACAGCGGCCCGTTGTCTGGTTCCCAGGAACTTGACCCCATGTGGCTGCTCATCTTTCCCGAAGGCACAAACCTCAGCGTAAACGGTCGAATATCGAGTAGAAAGTGGGCAGAGAAGAACAAGATTGACGACTTGAGGCATGCAATGTTACCAAGAAGCACTGGCTTGTTGTTCTGCTTGAAAGAGCTCAAGACTTCCGTCGAATATCTGTATGATTGCACAGTAGCCTATGAAGGCGTCCCGTAAGCTTAGCCGCATTCTACTGCTAGTCTATACGACAGCTAATCTTTACTAGTGTCGGCCAATATGGTCAAGATATTTTCACCCTCCGCGGTACCTACTTCCAAGGTCGCTCTCCAAAATCAGTAAATATGCACTGGCGCCGTTACGCCACCGCCGACATCCCAGTCCACGATGAGAAGGAGTTCTCTGACTGGCTACTCCTGCGTTGGCGCGAAAAAGATGATCTACTACAGTACTTTGTTGAACACAACCGTTTCCCTGCGGACGACGGTGAAACACCTAGTGTCGACGGCGGAGAGCCATTGAAGGGCGCAGGCTGGATTGAGACGGATGTCCGACCGGTCAAGTGGTACGAGTGGTTGCAGATTTTTGTTCCAACTGCGGCTCTTGGGCTCATCGTCAATGTCTTTATTAAGATTTTCAACATTGTTACGAAGGTCGCGGGATTAAGGTCTAAAGCCTAGATTGCCAAAGAAAAGAGAGAAGGAAAATGCTTTGAGTCGGGTTGAGGAAGTAATGGAACTGTTGCAAAAGATGGAGCTGCTCAGGCCTTCGTCAGCGGCTGTTGTTGTTAAGCTCGCTGGGGTGTGGCATATTTGTAGGTAGATCGATTTGATACCCCTCGTCCATTTTTTCGGATGATACTCTCTCCTCTGGTTCGTTACGCTTGTAGTGTAAGGATTAATACAAAGAATGTAAAGGGAAACAGGGTACAAAGTAGATAGTAAATAAGTACATTCTTCACGGAGTATCTCTGACGAATTCTTCCCCATGACCATTTAGCTCTTGGGTACGGTAAACGATACTTATTCAAGATACACCAGCTTCATAACTAGACGCCGCCTTGACCTAGTCGCTATTGCTAGTGGCCTAAATGGCGGTGTCGTTACGAATGGTCAAGGACTTTGATATAATGAGCCGAATTCCCTTCAGCTTTGCTGGTGAATAGTTGGATGAAGGATATGGATGATCTGATGTTGTCAAGAAGTGTTGACTCGGACGTGTCTTTCTTGGTCTGGATATCAGCTGCATGATAGACACATTTTCTTATCAAGTCTTGCTACCATAGTCACGTCGTATGGGCGATGCAAATGTATTTCTTCCAGCATTTGAGGGTCATCTTCAAGCAGGGATAATATTCCAAACAATGATGTTGATCTTGGAATCGAGAGAGTGCCTGCACAACATCACTCGCAGGAAGCGAAATTCGCTAGTCCAAATACAGCCTAGCAGTTACCGAAATTCACCCCACCCGTGACTCCACATAGAGAGGCTCAACCCTCAAGATTCGCCATCGCAATCCTGCGAACACCAGACAACACAAATCTGCCCATCATGGCGACAATGACGGTAACAGAAACACAAAATAAGAGGAGGCTACCAAAGAATGTAAAGTTGCCACCCGAGAATGAGCGATACATGCGGGCATGCGCAGATATTGCGTCGGCGCTCATCCAAGACTACGAATCCCAGGCGGATGGAACAAAACCAAAGAAAGATTTGAACTTGAACTCTTTGCGCGGTCAGATTGCAAAGAAACATTATTTGAAGAGCCAGCCGCCACTTACAGCGATTATTGCGGCGGTGCCAGAACACTACAAGAAATATATCTTACCAAAACTCATTGCAAAGCCGATCCGTATGTTGGGATAAAATGATCCAAAATTTTGGAGAAGAGACGCGGACTGACTAGGCAAAAAGGTACATCATCGGGTATTGCAGTAGTGGCAGTAATGTGCAAGCCACATCGCTGCCCGCACATTTCGTACACTGGCAATATTTGTGTATATTGCCCAGGAGGCCCAGACTCAGATTTTGAATACTCGACTCAATCATACACAGGCTATGAGCCAACGTCTATGCGCGCTATTCGAGCGCGGTATGATCCGTATGAGCAAGCTCGTGGTCGTGTCGATCAAATCAAGTCACTAGGCCACAGTGTAGACAAGGTCGAGTACATCATCATGGGCGGTACATTCATGTCTCTTCCAGAATCCTACCGAGATGAGTTCATATCACAGTTACACAACGCCCTGTCCGGGTACCAAACCAAGGATGTGGATGAAGCAGTTGCAGCCGGCGAAATGAGCAACATCAAGTGCGTCGGTATCACAATCGAAACACGACCAGATTACTGTCTGGACCAGCATCTTTCATCCATGCTACGATACGGATGCACCCGTCTAGAAATCGGCGTACAATCTCTCTACGAAGACGTAGCCCGCGACACAAACAGAGGCCACACCGTCGCCGCAGTAGCAAAAACCTTTTGCCTCGCCAAAGATGCAGGCTTCAAAGTCGTATCGCACATGATGCCCGATCTCCCCAACGTAGGTATGGAGCGCGATCTCGACCAGTTCGTTGAGTACTTTTCCAACCCGGACTTCCGCACCGACGGCCTCAAAATCTACCCTACGCTCGTCATCCGCGGTACAGGACTCTACGAGCTATGGCGGACAGGCCGCTACAAGAACTACACCCCCAACGCCCTCATCGACATCGTCGCTCGCATCCTTGCTCTCGTACCACCGTGGACTCGCATCTACCGCGTGCAACGTGACATCCCCATGCCACTCGTCACGTCCGGTGTTGAAAACGGTAATCTGCGCGAACTCGCACTCGCCCGCATGAAAGACTTTGGTACTTCATGTCGCGATGTGCGGACGAGGGAAGTCGGCATCAACGAAGTCAAGCACAAGATTCATCCGGACCAAGTCGAACTCGTGCGGAGAGACTACGCGGCAAACGGCGGATGGGAAACGTTTCTCGCGTACGAGGATCCCAAGCAGGATATCCTTATCGCGCTGCTGCGGCTGCGCCAGTGCTCAAAGGAACATACGTTTCGGCCGGAACTGACGGGCCAGCCGTCGTCACTTGTGCGTGAGTTGCATGTTTATGGGTCGGCGGTGCCGATACATGCGAGGGATCCAAAGAGGTTCCAGCATCAGGGCTATGGCACGCTTTTGATGGAGGAGGCGGAGCGGATAGCGAGGGAGGAGCATGGAAGTACGAAGATTAGTGTCATTTCGGGTGTCGGTGTTCGCAGTTACTACGCGAAGCTTGGGTACTGGCTGGATGGCCCGTATATGAGCAAGACGCTCGAGCCATTGTGGGAGAGGGAGTGGTAAGCCACGTGATTAAGGGCATTGGATTGATGATAGTAGATGAGTGTGCATTGCTGGCGCTGGGTCGTTGTATTGTCCAAGTTTTGGTTACCAAAGGGATATGATGCACAGGGTCAATACACGCGCGTGAAAATAGCATGTATTGTACTAAATCAAACGTCTTGTTGCAAACCGCAGAAATCACCTGTATCCACCAAACGCCGTATGCCATGTTACAAGTTACAAATACTTCCATCTCTCTTCAACAGGTGCGTCGCTGTTTTATCAACCTGACCTTCCTGCATCGCGTCTAGCGAACTCCTAGCCTTTCTCCAGGCCGGATTATCCTATGATCGTGTATTCCGTGGTATCCGAAATCATGACAGGCTTATCGCGCCACGACGGCTTTCGCGCATGTGAAGGAGGGCCTGCAGTCCGCAGAAAACGAAGAAGCCCTGTATTCAGTTAGCAAATCGCGCTTTTCTAAGCGATGGTGAGATCGTACAATGTATATGAAGACGGCCCCAAATAGTGCGCCTGCCACCGCGCCACCGTCCTTGGGGTCCTCCTCTCCGCCCATCACCGTGTTGCTGCTTCCCTACAAATCGCATGTTAGCTATTTCCTCGATTCCTCTTGATGCTGAGAGATGCGCGACAGCATGTTTGATACTGTGCGGCCGCATTTTACAGGATAGACGTACTCTGAACAGTGCTCCCAGCGTGGACAGAATGACAATCGCGAACAGGGACACGACAATGCTGCCAACACATTAGCTTCCTCGTCTTCCTTCCAACAAGTCCTGGATCGCACATACCATGTCCAAGCATTCATAGCGGAAACAACAGGCTTGACCATGTTGGGCGGTTTGAAGCTCTGGTATCGCTTGGAGGCGGATAAGCTTGTTTAACGGCGCTTTCGAGGCAGCGCGAATCTAGCTATTGTTGGTATCCGAAGAAAGGCGATAACGTCAGGACGGCGATTTCAAGATTGAGATGGACGGTTCGAGGACTTGTCGGTGTCGTGATGGCGATATTGTGGTTGGGTGGATGAATGACCCGAAGCTTCAAGTCGTCATGCCCTGTCTCGCCATCTGCAGCTATCGAGTGGTCTGTGCGTGCAAAAGCGCCGCATGAGAATGGCACATCAACACCTCTTTCTTGTGCTTGGTTTCAACCATGGATTCCCTATTTTGTTCAAATGTTCAAATGGGGTGGCTTTTCCTTTTGAAACGAAAAATAAATCATAACGAAGCGTCAGTTTAGTAATTGATGTCCTGATTCAAGAATCGACAGCCGGGGGATATGAAGCGGCCCGTAGTAAGCTCCGTATAGAGATGCGAAGAACTAGGTATTATGGTGGCACTTGCGGTCGCCTAACTTTCCCGCGTGTCTAAGTATGCTTCTTCTAGTCCTGTATACCAATGTCGAGGTGGTGTGTGAATGTCTCTATGGCGAGGCGCTACTATATGTGAACTTCATGCGATGCCATTCGGGTTCGGGTCGTCGGACTTGAGATATCCATCATCCCTTGATATTTCTAGAACACGGGGATATACTGAGAAGCTGAAACTAGAACACTAGGACCACACACCATATTTTGTGTCTTGGTTTTGGAGGTAACGATTCGTCGTTTCAAATGTTTCGAACCACAGAACAGTGACATCGAGAAGATGCTACGCACGACACATGGTACTCTCAGGGCTGTAAGTATAGTCGCGCATCCAGGGCGTCTTCCCCACGTTTTCCTTGTCCCTGGTGAAATGAGCATTTAATATCCGACTCCGGCTCTAAACTCCTATTCACCTAGGGCTAAACGGAGTTCAGTATAGACGGGACCGAGTTGTTGTTCGACGTCCTATCAGCGGGCAAGTCAAATCGCGCACTGGCTGGGCTGCGCACCGCGCACCACGCATTAAGCCGGTCTGCACATTCCAGAATATGATACGGGCCGCTTCACGTGCGGAAAGACCGGTTTGTTGCTTATTGGGCTACTGTAAAATGGGTAAAGCTCTGGCGTCTTATCTCGAGGAAAAGAAGCACTCGTACCATATAGCGAAGTCTGGACATACTGTCCAAATAGCGGTGAACCAGGAAGAACACGTTAGTGTACCGAGAAATTTAAATGAAGGCACCAGTAGTAAATGCCTAGAAGCTTGTCATACTAAGAGAGGGGAAATAGTGAGCTTGCTTTTCCCCTAAATTATTCCGTCGAGAAAAGCTTGTGTTGCTGATTGCGGAGAAACTGCCCGCATAATTGTGTTGATCTCCTAACCTGAAACAATATTCAGAACAGAGGGCATATGCACAGCGACCTCTTTCTGAGCTAATTTCCGAGGCTAAAGTGGAAATCTTCCAGAAAA